GCCGGGCGCGGTGCGGCACATGCGAGGGACGAGGGGCTGCGCCCCGCCGGCTCCCCCCGCGGCCGCTCGTCCTGCCAGGCCCTGGGCACGTCCCTGCTGCTTCGGCAGCACCGGTGCTGCTCAGCGCCAGAAACGGAGCTCCGGCTCCCCGAGATGTCCAACTGCTCCAACGCCGTCTGGACCTGGAGGAGTTTCAGCTCCTGCAGCGCGCCCATCATGCAGTTCATCTGCTCGTGCAGCCCGTCGCCCACCTCCTTCATGGAGAGCTGCGGGGGAGGAAGCAGACACGGAGTCAGTGTCCCCGGGAGCCAGCGAGACAACTCCCACCGAAGAGCAGGGTTGCTGGGCTGAGCAGCCTTCCGAAACATCCCCTCTTCCCACGGACTACCCGTGCTACCTCTATTTCACGGAACCGCAACTGGATTTTTCTTAAGATCTGTCTAGGAGTTTCCCTCTAGCCATAAGAGGAGCTGACAGGAGGAGCGGATTTTCTGACCTGACAACAAAAATAAATAGTTTGAGTTTCCATTAACTGCTTGGCAGAAACCCAAGGCACAGAACTAGGAAGGGTTTTGGCTGCTGCCAGCCGTAGCATATTCTTCTGCTTTTGTGTCTTTTGTGCCCTGTAACTACTGAAATCAGGAGTCAGAAGGGTGAACAGAAGTGCCTCCCACAAAGAACCTCGTTTCTTTACCTAAAGCGTTAAAGCAAATTAAAAATAAACCCCGGTAAGGATCACACTGTTACTACGTGACATGTTGTCAGATCTTAATGCCCCCATTACAGGCACCTCTCACTAGAGGACAATCAAAGACACTTCGACGCACTTGAACTTTTGTACAAAACAACCGACAAACTCCAAATTTACTTACGTTACACCAGCAATCTCTTTGGTTCCCAAGCTGGGACCTCTAGTAGCAGCTCTGCTTTACCCCTGAACCTTGCTATAAAGATTTAACTTTCTGCACTAGATTTAAATTAAGCAAATTATTTTCCAGAGCTTCTGAACTCCCTCCTCTTTCGCTCTGTTGCTTTCTCTCTCTCGTGTAGGATCTGGATCATATTCCCAAAGCGGCATCATAAAACAAATGGGCTATACTTTCCAACAGCTGCCACTTCTTTTTTTTTTTTTTTTTTTTTTAAAGCAGGGAGGGGGAGTGGGGAATGGGAAGGAGAGGGGAAGAACAGCAGGAGGTGGCAGGGCTGGAGGTGAAGCCGTGTCACATTGATGCGAGGTGGTTTGCAGAAGAGATTACCACTCACTGTCTAGGAAAAGCTTCAGCCTGTGCTGTTTGTAAACACTTTAAGAGGCTCGTCACAATTTTTGTACAGCAATAGATCTCAGGCTTAGGGTGAAAAAGGGCAGATGCATCTTACGTTCAGCTTTACATTATCAAGCCGTTTTTACCTCTCCATTTTAATTAAATTAGTTCAATTACTTGCTCTATTTTTATTTCTGTACTTGGCTTTGACCAGCGAGAAAGAGCAGTCGTGAAAAAACTGGATCCTCTGTAACAATCTAGCTCTGTAAGTGGAAAGCTCCTCAACAGTTTCTGACCGCAAATCTCTTATTTCAAAACCCAGAACCTAAAACTAGCCGGCAGATTACAACGATTTTTCAGATCTTCGCTCCTGAGAAACTTATTTATCACCCAGAATGAGCACACAAGCTAGGAAGATACAGAAAAATCTGTGTCTAACTTCCTGGTTACACTATCAAGTGTCTCCAGCTATCTAATTTTTTAACATCAGCAAATAAACCTCTCCTTCTGCAGACATGCAAATAATGCCCCACTTAGACTAACCGAGCTCTTGGGTTACCCGTACAAAAGCCGGGGCCATATGCTCTACAAGCCTCAGACAAAACTATCACCTTACCTCTCCAGATTTGCTGTAATGCTTCTCGTCCTAACCTTTCTCGCCTTATTAATGGCAGTCTGGTTTATCTGAGGCTTTGCAAAAAGCTGGATTTGGAGCCAGCTTGGCCCCTCATTGGCCGCTTCCCACCAAATCCCCTGGCTGGCGCAGGGCTGTAATCGCGCCGCGGTGAGTGCCCGGGGTTGGGTTGGGCTGCTCGAACCCTTGGCATGTGCCGGACGGCTCCGCTGCTTCACCGCGTTGATTCCGTTAACTCCCCCGTGACGGGTGGTACCCTCGGGCCTCATCCAGCGAGGCTCGATTCAATTTTCACAGGCAGCAGTTATCGTCAGCGTGGTCGTTTCTCACGGGCAGATCCCGTCTGCCCCTGACAAGCAAAGACCTGAGCCCCAAAAACTCAGACTCCAGCGCTTTTCCTTCTGAACAAACGAGCTGGTTCTGCTAAACCTGGCACCAGCACCAGCCTGGGAAGCTCGAGCCACTGGAGGAGGAGCGGAGGTATTTTCACCTGCAGAAACACTTTCCCGTAAGTGACTGCGAGGTTTGGACGCCTCTCCCCTGACACCCGGCCTGGGGGTTGGGCTGGGCTGTCCCCGTCGCAGCACTGGGGGAGAAACGGGCACTTTTGGGACACGACTCGTCCAGCTTCAGCAACCTGCTTTGGGGCGGGACAAATCCTGCCCTCTGGACTCGGCCTCGGTGTCCCTCTGGCAACGTGAATCCCACCCTCAGCAACAGTGTTAAAGATCCTGAGGCTTTTAATTCTGCTTACAACCGCTGCTAACATTTTGGGCTGTGCAAATTAAAAAAAACAAAGCACACACCCCCCCTCTTTATCTTTTGCTCTTCATGGTATCTGTTCAGTCTTTACAGAGCTGAAGAGTGAGTGAAACCCAACCCAAAGTGAAGTCACTGACTGGTGACCAAAGAGTCTGCAGGGGCTTGGATTTCATCCACTAGTAATTACCCTGTGGTAATTAAGAGTACTCACCTTGGAGAGAAAACTCTGGAGGAACAAAAAAAAAAATAAGTTTCTCCCCCAGTGTCTAACAGCAGCTCTCTCCTCTGCCAAGATCTCAGTTCTCCCAAGTCCAGACTGGTTTCTCTGAGACTCTGCAGAAGAGGAACAATCTCTCACAGAAGAGAGACCATCACCCTGGCAAAGGTTTGAGACTGGACTATCTGGGCTGCTAGAGGGGAAAAAAAAAACTGTCAGCAGATTGGGCTGGAAATCAAACCGGTGCTCTGACTGGAAGGTGATGGGGACGCGAGGCCGAGGGGACAGCCCCTGTAGCCTGGCTGGCTCTGTGCTCACACGCTTCACCTAGGAGGAACTGGAATTTGTGATGAACTGAAGTGCAATTTCCACCAGAGCGTGAATGTGACAGAAAACCCCAGAGAGCCTTAATTTGGCATGGAGGGACCCTGACTGTCTTGCTGGGGTTATGCAAGTGACATTACGTAAGGCGGCCAGCGCGGGGCATCAGGAGATGCTGCCTGGGCGTGTTTGTGAGCTGCAAATCCCCAACCTGCTGTGGACTCAGCCGTGCCGCAGAGCAGAGTGCCGGGGAAATGGCATTTGCTGTGAAACTTCGGGTCTAGCACAGCTCTCGCACACCAGCATCCTCCCTTCTCCTACCTGCTGGTCTCCGCTCGAGGCCCACAAATGCGTCGGCGTTTCGAGGGACTCTGTGTGTCTAATTTGAGAGATGCTTCGGGCTTCAGTACAAGTGGCTGGTTGGCACCTCTGCTTCCCAGAAAAGCCAAATTAGAACGACGACAGCCTGCAGATGTTCAGATTTACGTCTTAGAAACGGTTAAAAATCCGATGCCTCAAATTGCATCTCATTATTATTCCTGAAACCCTTGCAGTCCCTGAAAATTGGCATGAAAAAGTTTTAGTCTAATTCTGAGCCAACACGGATGCCTTTTATAGCAAGACAAGTACGTGCAGGGCTGGGCGCAGTTGTGACGCGCGTGTTCCTTGTCGGTGGCCGGGATTCAGCGTGTGATGTTAAACGTTTCTCGTCCGGTAGCAAGGTGTTACCTCCAGGTCAATCCTCCCGGGAAGGCATGAACAAGGCAGCTCTGGCTAAACACTCCTCCAAAGCAAAGCTCGCTCCAACTACAGTCCCCCTCAACACTGAAAACTGAACTGCAACATTCAAAAGCTTTTCAAGCACTTTCAAACGATCATTGAGGAATATTCAACGTGAGGGGGAGGAAAAAACCCAAGAGCGGGCATCTTGCAAAACTGGCAGAGTTCGAACACGGAGTGTTTTTACATTGGAAATCCACGGTCTGAGCAGCAAGGGTATCGGTTACTTTGCAAGCCACGGCTTTTTAACGATTCCCTCAAAATACCTATTCCCAGAGCTACCACCACAATCGGCTTACACAGTTTATAAATCAATGATCTTCCACCACTGATTAACACAGCAGGAGGACAACTTGCCCCGAGGAACATCCCCTGGCAGTTCCTGGCGGTTTATCAAATGCAAAACTGAGACTACAAGGGAGAATTCACTTGTCACTTCCCACTTCACGGGTAAATAAGTAACTTTTTTAACCCACTTTGGGGACCAATGTTTTCCTACTAGCATCTACGTTCACCGAGTCCCCTCCGGGTCCCGGCCCCTCGGCACATCTGCCCGGCGCTGCGGCAGCTCTGTGACGGGAGGCAGAAAGGAAGAGCCCAGCGAACGCAGCGCGGGGTCAGCTCGGCGCTGAGAGCTGAAGAGAAGAGCTCCGAGCGTGTTTGCCCTTCCGAGGAGGAAGACAGATGTCCAGCTCTTAGGTAAAGAAACGCAAAGGGAGGAAGTTATTGCTAAGAGGACAGGAAAGAACAAATGGCAAATAGCAGTTCTTAATAATAGTGCTGATGGGCAACAGAACCAGCAACAAACAATTGGTATTTAAAGAGGATGACATAATAGAGACCAAAATTATTTTAGAACTGCTGAGCTGATCATATTGTTTCTGTGTTTTCCTTTGGGTCACTAACTAGATTAATCTTCAACAAGCCTGCAATTGTGGCTGGGCACAACCCTTCAGAGCGCGCTGCACGGCTCAGAGAGCTGCTCTGCAGCTTGCTGGTGCACCTTTCTTTTCCTTCCCTTGATGCTGCCAAGGACCTGCGATCTTCTTTTTGTCCTTGCATTTTATCACAAGAATTTCAAGGCTCTTTTTTACCTTTTGTCTTTCCAGAGTATTTTAGGCGTTAACGAGGATGTTAACTCTGAGCTCACGATTTATCTGAAAGAAGGATCCTGAAACTTTACCAGATTTTTTTCCCAGTAGTTTAAATACCTTAAGCAGATGTTGGCCACAGAAGACATGGTTCACATCACTCAGTTAACAGTCTTCTGTACTCAACTGCCTTCCTTTCCATTGCAATGATATTGTTCTGTGCTTCCCAATCACGCTTGCTACGTTTAAAGCAGATTAGAAAATCAGTTCTCTACAACCAGGAAGCGAACGAAAACCAACAGGGACGAAAAGAACTCCAGCCTTCAGACTGTTACTCCCAACCCAGGGATAAGAGAGACCACAAGCCTCAGTGTACAGACTGACCATTGAAGGTGATGGTTAAAAGTGTCAGCTTTCAGGCCAGTGGTCTGCCTCAACGTGTGCAGCTGGGACTCTGAAAAACCCACTGTCATCTTTGGGAATCTTCTCCGGAATAAACAAGCGGACAAAGCCTGTGACTGCTTTTTCTCTCCCCAGGTTATACACGACAGGACATCGGCTGTCAGGTCACTCCTTTGCACCTTCCCTCAAGGCACCACCAAGGAACGAGATTCTGTGATAACCACCCGAGTTCCTAAGGTTATTTCCAGCAGCGATGGGCAAAGGGACCATTTTATCAGCGGAGACACAAATGAAGCTGCGTGTTTCCACCTGTTGGAGTTGTGAGCAGCGACGTTAGCCCTTGAGGTCTGTCATTTATGCCTACTCTGCTGCAAGTCACAAGAGCTGCTCCTTCAGAAATAGCAGTAATGAAAATACGGCAGACTCCTTTTTGAGCACGACACAGTTACCGGAATAGGACCCAGTGTGAGACAAAGAGTAAAAATAATTGGCTGTATTTTTCACTCAGACCAAATGTTCTATTCCTGCAAGATATTCATAGCAAGAAACACTGTCTACCAGGACATAAATTACTGTAAGAAGGGAGTCAGACTCCATCAAACTCAGTAATGCGATGCGTTCATGATGAATGTGCAGGGAGAACATTCAAAGGTTCAAGCCAGAGTGGTGGGGTTTGTTTTAAATACCTGCTTTAATACTTTCCCTCCAAGAAAAAAGCAACAGAATGCCCAGAAACAGCCCGGATTCCTCAAGAAAGACCAGAACATGGGAAATAAAGTTACAACCACAGCTAACTTGCGTGTGACCCCTCACCCGTTACAGCCATACAAACCCCAAGTGCAAGATAAATCTGGCCCGTGCACTCACCAGTCCCTGGGCGGACAATGAGTGATTTATTCTTATTGTAGAAGAGCCTTGAAACCCCAGTCCCTGCGCTGATGCTACTCTGTATAACTGCAAACAATCCCCGTGTCAGAAAGTTTATGGAGGCAATGCCATCTGCAGCACGAGGCACGGAAATGAAATTCCTTTGTGCTAATCCCCGAGCAAGACAATTCTTGTTAAATCTGATCTTTCAGCTGAGATAACATTCTGTAACTCAGCAAGCAGACATATTGCTGTGCCTCGGAATGATGTTTGCAGGCCCCGAATCCAGCTGATAAAGTCAAGAAGACTTTTAGTACGGGGGATTAATTGCATTAATGGAAGATTCACAAGCTCTGCGGCACATCTCACAAATGCCAGGAGCGGCCCACACACCGGCACTGCGCCCTCCCGCAAACCCCGCTGCGTCCATCGATCTCCCCGGGCTGTCCAGAGGAGGTGAACAAAGTCTTCTGGATTTTCTGCACACAGAGGCCGCGGTGCAGAGAGCTGGCACGGCCTGTCCAGCCCAGGCTGG